TATTTTCTATGCCAAGCGTCGTGGCATAGGAGCTATGCACAATGGCATGCTGCATAGAATTTGACAACACCTAGGGGCAACTTCTGACGCGCCTCATTTCTCTGTTTGACATCTAATCAAGGTGATTTAAGTATTTATAGAAATCTCTTTTAGGATCTAGCTAATGGTATAGGTTTTGCTCCTAAAAGATTTCACACAAGAAAGTTGGACATCCAAACACATTTTCTCAACATTTCACAATTTTAACAATACAAGGGTGTCTAAAATCTCATGCATATGCCAAAAGCTAGTACTAACACTTAGACCACACTTAATAGACTAAGGACTACCTATACAACACACCACATGCACTCAATCACATCAAATCCTCATTTTTACTCTTCAGCTCCTTTAATATAAAAAATAGAAAGGGGATGCTTAGCATTTCGTTAATCACTTAACTTCAAACACAATAGTATAAAAGTTTTCTTTACATTTACACTAGTTTTTTGGCCCTACCTGAAACATTCAATTACTTTTACAACAACCTCAGGGCCTAAAATTCAACCATCAAATCATGCATAAACATAGCATGAGTACAACAAAAGAATGCGTTCCTTAATTGACAATATCTTATCTATGACACAAAATAAATGAGGATGGGAGGCTTTATAGTAAGAATACACAAATTCCTAAACCTTCGGAGCCTTTTCCTTCTTTGTACCTAGGCTAGATCCTATAAGATATTAAAAGAGGGATGAGTATGACCACTTAGTAATGAAGGTATGTCTATCCTATATATTTTCATATTAATTGATAAAAACATATAATTAAAAGATGACCACTCATATGCATTTTCCACAAATCATATCACAAGACATATTGCCACAATACAAACAACCATATGACAATGGCTCAATCAATAATAATAATGCACATTGCCATAATAATAACAACTAAGTGATAATGACACAATCAACTATCATGACTTACAATAAACTTATCAACCATGTGACATTTCGAATAAAAATGATGCATGTTCAAACCATCCTTATATCCTCCTTATATGTTCTAACTGAACCGTGGGCTATTAATCAATTAGGGCTCCATTTGTATGAATGGATTACTCAAGCTCATCAATTATAAGGAGTGACCCAATCAAAGATCACTACACTCACTTTCGGTGAATGAAGGCTATTGAGGAACTGTCCCATTATTTTTTGAGGAACTCAAACCCAGCTAATTCCACCAATTTGTTGAGGAGTTTAGCCTAGGGTTTTACGACACCTCAGTTAATCAAGTCCACATTCATCAACATCACCATTCACACACTTTAAACTAATGGCTTTCACTTATGAAGTTTGCTAGTTTTGAACAAAAATAATAGAAGAGCCAGTAATTCATGTGAGCCAGGCTTATTCAGGTCAGGCTCTATTCAATGTAGGCTTATTTGGATAGGTCTTAAAGGATCCTACCATATGGAAAAAGCTTAGACAACCAATTCGATCCTAATCTCTTGGGCTTTCGGGCTAGCCCGAATACCCAAATCATTAAATATTGTTTTATTTTATTTTATTATTTTTATCTAATTTCAATTTTATTTTAAAAATTAATATTGTCAATTTTTATATTATTTTATTAATAATAAAAAAGGAATGCAGGTATTCAAGCTAAGTTCATTCAAGTTTGGGCTTAGCCCAAATTTCTTTAGATTTATTTAGGTGACCCAAGTAAGCTTGAAGGAAAAAAATATTTTAAACCCTTAAGCCTAGCCTTAAAATTTTTTAAGCTAATTCAGCCTGTCCTATCAAGCTTGGCTTAAATTACCACATCTCTATAAAAGATAAACACCGGATAGCAAATGGTTCCAAAATTACACACATATCATAGCTTAAAAATTGGTCCCAACAACATACATAATCAAGTGGTCCCCACCACATACAAAATGACAAGTATATTCATAACAAAATACCCAAGCAAAGTGGTCCTGCCACATATACAAAATGAAATAACAAAGTGGTCCTTGCCACATCTAAGATGCATGTTCAAACCATCCTTGTATCCTCCTTATGTGTTCCGATTAAAACTGTGGGCTATTAATCAATTAGGGCTCCATTCGCATGAATGGACTATTCAAGCTCACCAATTATAAGGAGTGACCTAACCAAAGATCACTACACTCCCTTTCAGTGAATGAAGGCTGGGCTTATTCCAATGTTTACTGAGGGACTGTCCCGTTATTTTTTAAGGAACTCAAACCCAGCTAATGCCACCAGTTTGTTAAGGAGTTTAGCCTAGGGTTTTATGACACCTCAATTAATCAAGTCCACATTCATCAACATCACCATTCACACACTTTGAACTAATGGCTTTCACTTATAAAGTTTGCTAGTTTTGAACAAAAATAACAATAGAGTCAGTAATTCATGTGAGCCAGGCTTATTTAGGTCAAGCTTTATTCAATGTAGGCTTATTTGGATAGGTCTTAAAGGATCCTACCATATGGAAAAAGCTCATATAGCCAATTCGGTCGTAATCTCTTAGGCTTTCGGGCTAGCCCGAATACCTAAATCATTAAATATTATTTTATTTTATTTTATTATTTTAATCTAATTTCAATGTTTATTTTAAAAATTAATGTTGTCAATTTTTATATTATTTTATTAATAATAAAAAAGGAATGCATGTATTCAGGCTAAGTTCATTTAGGTTTGGGGTTGGCGTAAATTTCTTTAGATTTATTTGAATGAACCGAATAAGCTTGAAGTAAAAAAGTATTTTAAACTCCTAAGCCTAGCCTTAAAATTTTTGAGTTTATTCGGGTTGGCCTATCGGGCTTGGCTTAAATTATCACATCTTTGTAATAGATAAACACTAGATAGCAAATGTTTCCAAAATTACACACATATCATAACTTAAAAATTGGTCCCAACAACATACATAATCAAGTGGTCCCCACCACATACAAAAATGACAAGTATATTTATAACAAAATACCCAAGCAAAGTGGTCCTACCATATATACAAAATGAAACAACAAAGTGGTCCTTGCCACATATACAAAATGAAACCACAACACTATATGCCAACCTTTGTTTTACTCCTTGTTTGCATGCCAATCCTCCTCTCATTTTTGCTTTAAGTTGTGAAATTGTCACACTAAGCTGACCTATCCATCTAAGATGTGGTGTGGAAGGTTGTCTAAAAGGTTGTGATGTAGCATCACTATTTGAACGCAAGCCAATCTTCCTTAAACTAGAAGTTACTTTTAAAGTTTGTGCATGATATTTTAAAATTTTCTTTTCATTAGGGATGGGGAATCTAGTCTATAGATCAAAGTGATAAATCATATGCTCTCCAAGAGTCCCCTTTTCAAGGACAACTTCAAACCTCATTCCAAGCTATATAAGAAAAAAAATTTATTAGCATAAGTTCAAGATACTTTTTAAGAAAATATAACACATGCTTACATTGTACACATTTCTTCCTTGTCTCTATATCTACTCTAAAACCAAACCCTACTTCATTTATTGACTTGTACATTGTCTTTCTTTTAAGTGTCCTAATAGATTGTGATTGGATTTTTTGTGTAAGTTAACTAAAATTTAGTTGGGAGGGTACAAATGGCTTAGAGTTTTGAGAGTCAACCCAATCTGAGGTTGTGTGACTAGAGTAAATGTTGTTTCTAACTTTCAACTTCAATGGTTATAGTGCTTTAAGTTTGTAGTGTCTACTTTGGCCTACTAACTCTTGTGCTAAGTGAAGGAATGATGACTCTAATTTTTATATGTTTTGAATGGATTTTATTAGTAATTAGAGAGTCATCTTCTTTATTTGGTAACTTTTCTTTCTTATTTTCCTTTAATGTGTCATGTTTTGCAAATGGATAAGTTTCATTTAATCATGAGGATTTACACTTACTTTTAAGGAAAATGAGGGTTGCATGTGTTTTGGGGGACTCCAAGCTAATAAGGAGAGGAAGAAAAATAAAATAATTAATGTGAACATTAAAGTTTTAAAGGGTGGCCATGGCGCTTGCCATGGTAGGTGTTTGCTATAGCATAACAGAGAAATAAAGGGCATTGAGGCCATGGAACCCGCTATGGTGACATCAAATAACAAAATGCACAAAATCATTCTTTCTTGATTTTAAGTCTTGAGAAGCTAGGTTTTGACTTTTTGGCATTCTAAACATGTTCTAAGGCTAGAGACGCAATTTATTAGGAGCTTCAACCAAGGTCTTGGGGACATTTTTGAAGGTTAGAGAGTGATTTGAGCAGTTATTGAGTAGATTTTGTGAAAACTCTTCTCTTCTACTTTATGACTTCCACTTTTGGTGTTGATTTTGATTTTTTTTTCTTATTTAGAACCATGTATGGCTAATTTTGTTTAATCCTTAGGGATTTTATGAACCTTTATTCTTTGTAGCTAGATTTTTCCTTGGTTATTGATGTTTAATGAATATTTTGGTGCTTAATATGAATTTATTGTTCTCATGTTATTGGATGGCTATTTATTAAGAAACTTAGGATTATAATTTATCTAATTTGTGCTTGAGATAGACATATACTCAAGAGCTCTAAGCAATCTTCATAAGGCTTGTGCATAATTGATTATTGACTTGCATGAGACACCATTACATTAGTTAGATTATGGGCTTTTGTGATCAACGAACACTTAAACCTAAGTTAGAGCCTAAATTGATTCTAAAGTTGAAACATTAAACTTGATAACTAGGAGGAATTGAATTGCAAAGTATAAGGGCCAAAATTCTTAAGGTGTTCATTGATTGCTTATCTTACCTTGAAGTCATTTTTATTTCTTTTGTATGTATTTAAATTTTTAGTTCATAAAAATTCATTCTTTGATTGGTTAACTTAATTAGGATAAAATTAAATTTCATTTATGCCTAATCCCTTTTACTTTAGTTCCTTGTGAGATGACCTTGATTTGCTTTAATACGTTTGATCCATACACTTGTAGTGCATTTTAATTTTGTATGCATCAGAGCCTACAACAGATCACTTGAATATATCACTAAAACATAAAGGCTTACTTTCAAACCCATTCCACTCTTCAGGCATTCTCACTTCCTCAACAAGTTCAACATCATCATCACTAGAATCATCATCTTTTGACCTCTCTTTTTTAGTTTCCACTTCAGTGTCACTCTCTTCTTCTAAACTCTCTTCTTGAATTTCCTCTTCAATCTTGCTCTCTTCTAACCTCTCTTCTTCAATTTCCTCTTCAATCTCCTTCTCTTCTGACCTCTCGTTCAAATCATCATTGTCACCATTGTACCATTGTCGTCTATAATCCCAATATAAGATTCATGCAACCACCTCTCAACATAAATAACTTTCTCCCCATTTCCATCACCTTGGTTGAAAAGCATTTCATTGTTTTGCCCATTTGGTATGGCAGACACACACTTACCCACATTTTCAATCTCCTCAATTAACTCACTTAGTTCTTGTAACCAGTGACTGAGCCACGTTAACTTCAAGGGGGCAGATGCACCCCCCCTTTCAAATTCTTGAAGCTTACATGTATATGGTCCTTCTTATTTTGTAATTCAGCAGTTTGCACCTGTGGTCAAATCTAATGCAAAGGGGAGAATCTCTGGAGAAAGAGAAAACGTGGGAAGTTAAAGCAAGTAAAGGCTAATGGAATGGCTTATATATGAGACAGATATCATTTTATATTTTTTTCCTAAAAATGAACAATATGGTTCTATGATTTTTCTAGATCTTAAATAGTAATATTATAATATGTTTTGTATTCATCCAAATTCCACAAGATCATTGTTTCCATCCAGCCCTTTTTTTGGGAATTATAAGTCAATATCAATATAATATATCTTTTTGTTTGAGAAATTTATAAAATAAATTGTAGTTTCTTTCGAACTAATATGCATAAATTAATAAATTAGATGAATAATTACATAATTTCTCTAGAGATATCCTAAAAATTTTTCATTAGAAAAAACAAAATCTCTAGATTTTGAATAAAAGTTAGGAATATTTTTGAAAAAAAAAATACTCTTGTATTGGCAACAGAAAAAGCTTTCTTTCAAATTTATTTTCTTATACCTCATATTAGAAGGTATATTTTCAATTTTATTGACAATAAATTTATCGTATAACAATGTTGAAGAGAATAATTGTAAGACATATAATTAATTTTTCAAAATTATTTTTATAATTATTCATATTTTAAATTAAAGTACACCTCTTGACCTGAGGTCTTGGCTCTCTTCTACTCGTAACTCACTTTATTTACCATCTAACTTGACTGCATTCTCTTTGATATAGTCCTTGATATCCAATTGTTGCTTAATTCTTTCCCAACTAGCCTTTGCATTTCATTGGCTCTAAGATATTGGATTAAAATATCTATACCTAATGGCTCTTTACCCTTATTTTTCCTCTTCCCATTTCCCATCCACACATCTCAATGTCAGCAAACTAAAATTAACAATAAGATAGTCTTGAGGGCATGAATGATATTTCTTTACAATAATATAAACAAAAAGCTCTTTACTAAATGTCGTATTAAATGCTTTACTTGTAAGTCTGTATCAAGTTAATTACTCTACTTCTTCATCACCAAGGCACTCGAGATTCCTCAAACACATGCAATCCACCATACTTTAGAATTTCCTAATTGCACTGCTCCTCTCTACAACTCTCGTCCAAATCGCAAAATCTAAACTCTATTGTGAGGGGTCTCATGTAATTCCTTCCCCCACCAAGGTTTCTTTCTTTTCAATTGTCACTCTCATTTTCCTTCTCTTTTTCACTTTAATTACCCTAACCCTCTAGGTTTTTTGACTTCATGCATCCGAGACCCATCCCTTTCCTCATTTTCTTCCCATTTACCTTTTGGTTATTATTATTTTTTTGACACTATTTACCTTTTGGTTCATAGAAAAAACAAGTTATAAATTTTTTCACGCATTAGTACAAGAGGACATGGTCAAAATGGGTTAGACTTCTTTACTGTCACTATGAATGGACCCCACATGTTTTGAACATTGATTAACTTCTTCTTCCCTTGAGTTTCTCTCTGAAAACAACCCTACATCACTTTTATTATAAGAGAACTTGAATACTTGTTCACATTAAAGGGCAACTACAAGATTTGGACTGAGGGAAATCATATTGAAGAAGTTATTGCTGAAAATGTTACTGAAAGGAGACTATATCTTAAAAAAGATAATTATTGCAGCAATTATTGATAAAAAAGAATTATCTTATATTCAAAAAGGACAAATATTAAGTTTATTTTACTTCTTCCAAATATTGTAAGTTTCCTTATCATTATTAATAAAATTAAGATTCAGTATTTCCAAATAACTAATTTGTTATCAGACTCTAAGATAATTAAATATAACTATATATATATACACTATCTACAAATTAGAAGTTTTTCCATTTAATCAACCTCATCTCTTAATGACAGACAATTCAATAAAGATGATAGAATTGTCTTTTCTTATACTGATATTTTATATTCACAAATCATTCATTTTGAGAGAAACTAATAAAAAAGTGTGACTTTTGTCTCAAGCCGATTCTCACTTCAAACATTCATTAACTCTTTATTTTCCTGCGAATACAAACACAGACATCACTTTGGCTTTGGAAACGAACATATACATCACTTTTGTTATAAAAGATCAGGCCAGGAACACTTCCTCATCACATTAGGGGGAAACTAAAATACTTGGATTAATGGAAGCATATTGAAGAAGTTCAACATTGGCTTCAAACAAGTCCATGTCTTGCTCATCCATTGTTACAAGTACTTCAATTCCTTCCCCACCTCTCGCATCCATCAATAGTGCCACATCTTTCTTTGGAGGACTTCCACAAGTAGTCACCCATGTTGGTTTTCCCCATCCAAAATCGGCTTCATACATTCCACTTCCACACCAACTTGTTATATTAAACAGAAATACATTCTCAGATGGTCCTGTAGCTTTCAACAGCTCTAAGATCTTCATCATGCGCTCTTTCCCAAGCCCTTTGGCGAATGGATCCCAAAATTCAGATAACCCCTTTTGAATCTTCCTTACTAGTTCTTGTAATTCTTCTTCTTCTGGAGAGTTTGGACTTGGTACTGCAAAACCCCAAACCAAGTTTCCTATTGATTTCTCTGGCTGTTGAGGAATCATTCCAGCACGCAAGTCCACAGCAACGTTGAGATATGTGGTTAACTGCTTTGGAACCCTTGAACTTGATCTCAAAGTTGAAACTACACATTTGTAAATGAGTGAAGCCACCGCTTGTTCTCTTGTTGGTTTTATTTCCACTCCTTGAGATGCCATGGTCATAAGGGACTTGATCTTTGAGGCATCAAATACAAACCTTTTGGATACCATATTACTTTTAATTTTCGTATCAGTCTCCGGGAACATTGGTAAGTCACCAATAGGAAATAACGATGCTCCATTGAAAACAGGGAAGGTTACCTGAGATTTTGTGGTTATGGATGCCCAGTCTTTGACAAAGTGGCATAAAGAAGAGGCTTCTGCAACCTTGTGAGACAAACACACGCTTATGGCTGTTCCTCCACACTCAAAATGATTCACTTGAACCGCTACTAGGCTTCCCTGTGGACCGGGTTTTTTCCAGTGCATTTCATTTGGGAATAGAGGGTCGAGAAATTCTTCACTTGGGTCTTTCAGGATCTCTGAGAGCTTGTGTTTCATGTGGGTGACTATAAATGTGACTCCATCATCATTACAATCTATGGAAACTTGATCTTTGACTCTACCAGCAAATGGGTAGTACATGGATAGAACTTCAGACAGCGATTTCTTCAGCAATTTGGTTCTTTCTTCAGAAGCTTTGAAAATGGAGGTGCCACCACCATCTTCAGGCTCAAAGCTCTGGTTTTGGTAAAAGAAAACCAATGGAATATAGTTGGGAGGACAGAGATGATCTATAAAGGAAAGTGGATAAATTTGGAGATGAGAAGAGGTATTAGAAGAGGGCTTGATGATTTCTCTAGATATCACTTCCATTTCTGTGAGTATATGTTCTGAATCAAACAATGATACACATAAAATCATACATATGGTAACTGCTTTATATAGGTGAAACCAAGTAATCAAGCTACAAAGATCAATGACAAGGAAATATTAAATAATAAAACTTTTAGTTCATCAAGTTTGACCATTATTATTTGGTCTTTTAAGTTTAATTTTTTTAATTTGATCCCTTATATTTTCTTAAATTATCATGTAAGTCTTTTAAGTTTTAAAATAAAAATTGACTCTCAAAATAATTTAATGTGTAAGGTATATTGATAATTTATCATATATATGTAGCTAAATGAGAACAAGATTAACTCTCAATTGAGTTTACTTTTTGTAATATAATCCCTTACAATATGTTTAGTTATCTTTTTTTAAAAATTTCGGCGTCTATTTTTTTACTACCAAAATAATTATACTCCTGTTCATTAATCTACATAGATATCATTAATATTATGTATCCAAGTCAGCAAATTTTAATAATGCAACATCTTTTTTAAACAATAAGGATCAAATTGATAATTGAAGTAAATTTAAGTAACTGAATTTGTAGAAATTAAAATTAAAGGACTGAATAAATAATTAAGACAAACTTAAAAGATTAAAAATTGTATTATCTCAATATTGTATGAGCCAACTAGATAAAGTAGATGTGGTGACTAGTGACTGCTCAACTAATGGAAGTAAAATAGTAATTGAGGAGTACGCAGTTGGTATAGTGAAGACGAGTTGAAGAAAAAATAATAATGGAAAGGACACAATCATTGATATTTGGATATATTGTTTATACCTGATGTAATTTTCGGGGAATTGAAGGCTAATTAACAAATTAAGGATCGGTGAGTTATTGGGACCATTACGAGTAAAACATTATATAAGGCGACAAATTGATCATCAATCAATATGTGATTTTTCATTTTTATAAGAAAAAATATAATAAAATCTCTCTAAAAAATATAAATGATAATTTGGTCTCTCGAAATATTATAATTCTAATAAAGTCCTTTAAAACTTTTTTGTCATTAATGAATTTATATAAATGATCAAATTTTTCTCATTAAAAATAAAACGATTCACAAGCTTTATTTAAATAATCACAACTTTCTTTCTTTTATTCACAACAATGCAATAGTAAATTAGGAATTTAACATATAAAGTTGTAATTTATTATTGCGTTGTTGTAAATATAAAAAAAAATACGATTATTTAAAAAAAAATTGTGAATCGTTTTATTTTCAACAAGGCAATTTAGTTATTTATATAAATTTATTAATGATAGAAAAGTCCATAGAGACTTCAATGAAATTATGACATTTTAAAAGACCAGAATGTTATAATTTCAACAAGGTAATTATGTCATTTATATAATTTAAAGGGATTTTATTATTAATTTTATTATTATTTTTTCTTTTTATGAAGGAGTTTGCATGTCCTATTAAGAAAAGAATCTCACCATTTTATTCTTATCAAAGAGGCGCAGTTTTTTATTTTTAAATCTTCTGAGGTGCTTTATTTTGGTGAAGTGAAAAAAAAAACAGAGAGAATAATAGTCTCTCTCATTAAACTTGAAAATTAATAACTGTTTTCTTCCTATTTTTCTTCAATCTTGAAGACTCTGAAGTATTTGGTTTCATGATTTCATATGGATACGGCCAAGGCAATTTGTGGCAAGACTGCATTAAATCTTGAGAAATTATTGCGCATATTAGCTTAAGCAGAAAGATGGTGAGAAATTTGAGATTTGAGAGAAAGGTTGGAAAGGAAAAAGGATCCAGAATTTGGTCATAGAAATAATCACTAATAAAAATTTGTTAAGTCCACCACTAATTTAAAAAACAGAGAAAATAAAATAAAAATTGCAGAGAGAACAACTCTCCTACCAATCGTTTTATAAGACCATACCTACTGGTTCTTAATATATAAGATCATATTCAAAATTTTAATGAAATTCATCTCGAAAAATAATCTTGTTTAATTTCTTTCATTTTTACCTTAAATAATGGCTTTTCCATTCCTTCTCCCCCCAATGAACTATACTAATCAAAGAATGATTTGTAAAATTTCTAACAATTTTTACCTTTAATTAATTTTCTCAATCTTACAAATTAAAAGTAGTTAATATGATATGATAAAAAGGACAGGATGGAGTATTTCTTTTATTATAATAATACAAAGTTTAGAAGAGCTACGTTTTGGAGAGATCCAATAGAGTTGAATAGACCTCATGACTATAAAAATGTATTATAAAATAAATTACCTACCAATAGAGGGTTTACATTGGTTGCAATTAATAAGATAATAATAATTGGAAGGACATAATTATTGATATTTGGATGTATTATTTATGGCTTAAGTGATAAGTCTAATTAACAATTTAGAATTGGTGAGTCTATTGTGACCGGCCTGAAACTTGTATCTTTATATATGTGGGGACAAATTGATCATTAATCATTAATAAATAAAAAAAAAATTAAAGACTTGTATGTAACAATAAACCAAAGAAAATGTTATATCTGAACAATATTCCTTAGCTTGAATTTAAAAAATAAAGAATACACAGACTTATATATAGGCTTCATGTATGAGTGTGCCAAGACTATTAGGCCTAACAAACACAACTAACTAGATAACAAAAATCTAACAAGAGAAACTGTATCTATGATCATTATTGTCAAACATTCGAGTTGATTCTATTTATTATTTTTATGTTTCTATCTTACAAAATCATGTTAACTTGCTCATAAACTCAAACTAGATAAAATTTAGTTAAACTCACGAGTTAACTCTCCGTGTTTATCATTTCTATGTTTCTAACTTATAGAATCGTGTCAATCTACTCATAAACTTATTGAGCAAGATAGGTATATATTATGTAGAACTTGATTCATAGAAATAGTAGGATCCGATTCAATGAAAAAAAAAAACTAAAAAAGTAACAAAAACTAATTAATAAAAATAAAACAAAAAATATTAAAAATAAATTGCTCTGGTTTGAAGCCTTTATATATGTTGAATATAATAATCTATGAATGTAGGTAAATTTAATTTCAATAATTTATATCTGAAATATATTTAAATTAAATTATGATCATATTTTATATTTTAATTATTTAATCATATATTTTAAAGGCTATTCATTAATAGAGGTATATATTTACAATCCAAATATACATTTTGAGTTTACATCATTATCATGAGTTTAACAACCTTGTAACCAACATAAACCGTATACTACTAATTAATATCCTCCCAATTGTTTCGTTTTAAACAAAAAAACCAAAAACTTAGGCATGGAGAGCATCAGCAGGCATCAATCTCGTCTTGTCTTGAAGACACAGAAACAGAGCATTAGGAATGGTTTTGTTAGAGCATCATGAATCTAGTTCAGAGGTTGGAACATGATTAACTTGCACTTTCCAACATTCACCTTCTCTCACCTAAAATGAATATCTAGCTCAACATGTTTTGTTTTTCCATCTAAGACTAGGTTCGCAGGCAAGGAGACAGCACTGGTGTTATCACACCGGATGGAAGGGATACCAATAATTGGGACATAAAGTTCTTTCGATAATGCCATAAACCACACATTTTGCTAAAAACTTGCAATGGCAATAAACTTTCCACCATTATCACTCTGTAACTGCTGAATTTTGGAATTAAAACGTAATTCAACGAATGCTTTAAAAGTGCCAATTAAAAGAAAACAAAGCATTAGATTTCTTTTTCAGTAGATATATCCACGTGAAATAAGTACAAGCATCCACAAAGGCTAGTAGGAAAAACCATCAAAAGCAATGGGTGTAGGACCCCATAGATATGGTAAAAGCTAGAAAGGTTTGTCATACACTGAATTAAACGATGCAAAAGGTAACTTTTGACTCTTGCTTAAACAACAAGCAATAAATGGAGAAAGGAAAGACTTGGAGGCATAAGGAATGTTGTACATACGTAAAACTTGCTTTGAGAACATCTTTGGACGGATAGCAAAGCTGATGATGCCATTAGTCTCAGTCCATGCATTAGATGGCATTGAGTCTGCAAATCCTTGACCAATGATGCATGAGGAAAAAAACTCAACTGAGACACAATTTCTTTTGTAAATCCAGAAACAGAGCATGGACTCCTTTTTATTGTTAGAACACACACAACTCTAGATAAAAATGCATTTGAGCAATAGGTGAATGCAATGATAGTTTACCCACGCACAGAGGTTATTGGTATAGGATCACCATTACCTACGCAAACTTTGCCCAAGCCATGATAAGATTCAGCTCGCTGTAGTTGGTCGGGAATATTCTTGGTAACATGCTGAGTAGCACCAAAGTCCATATACCAAATGTCATCAGGCACGATCTCTGGAGTGGCAATATGGGCCTGAGGAACTAAAGTAGTGGGCTGTAAACCAGATGGTGGAACAAAGATCGCTATATTTGGAGTGGAAGAAAGTGGTATTGCAAGACTTAAAATAGTATTAGGAGTAGGTGGGGAGGAAGATTATGGTATGTAGGCATGAGAATAAGAAGAATCAGATTTAGGCACCATAGCATTATAATCAGATGCAGAATAATAGTTAGGTACAACAAAATAAGCATATTAAGGAGTAGCAAAAGGAGTCTCGAGAGTCAGATCTAGAAGTGGAAGAGTAGGAATGATCAAAGTTCTTGTAACACTTATTTACCATATGAGACAAACACGAATCAGAAAGATGAGGATAAAGGTGGACCTCTCTAACCTCAACCCGAGGGAGATTGAGTGTAAAACACCATCTCAATCGCATCAGTATTGTATGAATTAGCTGAACCAATTGATGTTAAGTGAGCCAAGGCAACAGAATGAGCCAAAAAAGTTTTCTGGCAAACTTCAGCATTGATCAACATTGCAGCTAGAAACAATATATATAGAAATCAAATTTAGCAATAGTAGGGTTTAATAAAGCAACATAATCAGCTGTTAAACCATTGAGGATCTGTGAAATATGCCACTGCTCA